TTCAGTTTCAAAATAATACTGATTTTATTGCTTTGGACGTTTCAAGAGGAAGCGTAGCATGAGAATCAGGCTTTTATTCCATTGAATCCAGACCCACATGTGGTCTGAGAGGTCATAGAAGCCAATACCCTTTACTGCGGGAGTCCCGATTCCATTGAATTCTGATCCTAAAAGCCCTCCAGCAAAGAGATACTCAAATTCCCATAATCCCCTTTAAACCAAATTAACCTGGACTCGCCTGCGGCTGTGTTTCCCAAGTCCACCGTAATTGCTCGCAGCCTCAAAATCACTCCTCCATCTGTATGTGGAGATGGGGGCAGCAGCTGCACCTGTCTCAGGCTGTGGTAACAGCCAGGCAGCCAACGGCTCCCCAGCCAGGCGGCTCTAACTGTGCGGCTTTGGGGTCTTCAGGCTTCTGTGTATTTCACTAAAGCTCCAGGGTCAGTGACCCACCCTGCTTGGTGGACATAGGAGAGAGAACATGGTGGTTTTAGAATGTGAGATGGAGTGCCAGAGATTAATTAAGTGTGTAATTAAGTTTATAGAGTGGTTAGGCAAGAGGAATGCAATATCCATGAAAATATTAGAGTCTGAGCACAGAGATTAAAGGCTAAGCGATAGTTTGGAGGCATCCGTAGCGTTGAGGATGTCAGCTCGGGGCCCCCAGCCCCAGGGTTTCAGAGGGCCCAGCTGCCCTCTGCACAGCCGTGCCAGCGCCGTCTCGTCGGCCATGACTGCCACCGAGATGCGGTGTAGCGGCTCTGTCCTGCCCACCCGTCCTGCAAACACTGCAGGCGCAGCTCACCTAGAGGAGGAAAAGGCACAGAGTCCGCGTCCTCACGCTCCCCGCAGCCGTCCCCTCCCTGTGGTGCCTTCTGAGTGCTTTTTCCTTGATATTCAGGAGAAAGCGGAGCACTCTGGGCAAAGAGCATCTGTCTGCTAGGTTTTGTTTATAAAGGGTTGAAGACCCTGTCCACAGCTCTTGGCAACTTCCAAGCCCTCGGTCACTGTGGTGGGTTATTTGCAATCCTCCCTACCAGGCTCACATGTAAACCCAGATCTGTTGTATAAAAGTGTGTTCCTGAAGGGCTGCAAAGTATAAGCCTGGTTTTATATGCACTAGAGTGAGACTGGTCATCTACCCCAACACCCAACTTGTGCATTCTGAACCAAATATAATTGGCTTTTGGATTATCCACTTCCCGGGACCCTTCTGCTCCCTGGAATAGGAGCCAGTAACCCGTGGTTACCTGTGGCCTTGAGAGGCAAAAGCAGAGATTCCTTCCTAAGTTAATTGAATTAAAGTGGCATCAATGCCACCGCGAGCGCCACCCACCTGCTCCTTCACTTCAGTTTAGCAGCCACCTTCCAGAGAGCCTTGTGCTCGTGGGTTTCATGTTCTCGAAGGGCTGCTGGTAGCAGATGCTTAGCGATGCCCTCTGGTCAGTACTCTAAGCTGGATGCCCCGGGGGTATTTTTGTAGCGAAATGCATGATTCAAAAGAGAAAGGAAAATATGATGATTTGGCTTATCACTGGAGTGAGCCTCTGCCACCTTTTAGGCTGCGCAGTAAACCTTCGCTAGTTGCACGCGACCCGCAGAGAACCTTACAGCAGATCACCAGGCAGCGTGCATCCATGAGTAAGATCATGAACACGATTCTTATAAAATCAGCTCTCTCCACCGGCTAATGTACTCTCTCCACTTTATTGGTACAGGATCGCTTAATTCAGATTGTGACAACAGTTCACAGCACACTAGCCACTTGATTCTAGAATGTTCTGTAAAATTAACACAGACTCTGGGATCAGAGGCGAGGTTCCCATCTCTGGAATGGAATCCTTGCTGATGAACAGAAGCGGGTCGCCAGGTGTTTGTGCGATTACTTAGACTAGAAGTTAGTAAAATTGGAATCAGCTGTGTCCTGCTGCGCTGATTCATCCACTCTTTTTAGAAAATATTAAATTCATCAGATAAAATTTGATAAGCGGCATACTTAGTGTTGGCGATCCCTCCCTGCCTGTGTTTGTTACAGTTAGCAGAGAAGATGTGCCGTTGTCACAAAGTAGACTTCACGTTCAAATTGCTTCTGATTTACAAGTCCTGAGTCATTGTAAACATTCCTGTGTTCGCTCATCGTAGGATAAGGCATGTTTCTCTGCATTCTCTATACCTTCCTTTTTGTAAGTACTTGCTAAAACGTGTGTAATTGAATCGTGTTTTCATTCAATTTAATCTTAATTTGTATCTTGCTTATTGTTGTGAGGCGTCACATTCATCCAACATGACACCGGCAGGGAAATGGACGATGCCAGCCGTGGGCTCCCAAGGGTGACCTGCCTTGCATTAGATTCCATAACGAACCCCCTTCTGCAGAATTTCTGTTTGCAAAGAGCAGAGTAGAGTGGGTTAGTATCAAAAAGTTGTTATTTTACTATAAAACTCGTTATCCTGAGACTTCAGGTAAAAAAAAAAAGCCATCCTTCAGTGGAACCGTCTCTCTGTGTGTGTCCGTAACTTCCCTAAATTCGCAGACCAGGCAGAATCAAGAAGAGGTGTTGATTTGGGGGAGCAGACTGGGAGGAAGGTCAAGGAGAGAGCTGAGAGGCTGAGGGAGGCCGGGGCCGGTGTGGTGCTGTGAGTGCTTGACCCTTGATGTCGTGCGAGAACCGGTGCCCCCTCAGGCCCTGCGTTACGCCTTTGTTCAGCTGGAGCATGACCAGGTTGGGGCTGCAGGCAGGGTGTCCTGGCGGAGGCCGCTTCCTGGTCCCGTGAGACCCCTTGCTTTCAGCTTCTGGGGCTGAAGGGCTCAGAACCAGCTTCCTTCCTGACAGCAGGGCGGCATCCGAGTCCCCGCGTAGAGGATGGAGTGTAGCAGGTGAGGTAAGCGCACCACCTGGCGTGGAAAGACCCGGAAAGCAGTTGTGTCCGCTCCCCAGCGGCCCGCCCTTTCGCTTCTGCAGAAAGTCCTCCGCAGCTCCAGGCAGCCTGAGACCAGGCGTCCAGTAATTTCTGGGCACACAGCACACTCATCGCACTGTGCGTCATTACCATGTCTCGAGGAAGCAGCGGTGGCTGGGGGAGAAGAGAATCCTTGCTGTCACAAATTTAAGTTCTTAGGGGATTCTAGCTGCAGCAGGGCATTGTGGGATCATCACCCAGGAAAGCAGGTGATCGACATGTCTTTTAAAGTGACCACAGGGTGCTTCTGCACCCCGAATTCGGTCGTTCCCTTGGACTCTTCCCCCGTCCTCCTGGTTTCACTCAGTGTGGATGCCCCATCTCTGTGAGAGCACACCTCTCCCAGCCCCTCCTTCCTGCAGGTACCCGTGGGCGGGACCCTCGGCCCCCTGCATCGTGGGTGGGACCCTCGGCCCCCTGCATCGTGGGCGGGACCCTCGGCCCCCTGCATCGTGGGCGGGACCCTCGACCCCCTGCATCGTGGGCGGGACCCTCGGCCCCCTGCATCGTGGGCGGGACCCTCGGCCCCCTGCATCGTGGGCGGGACCCTCGGCCCCCTGCATCGTGGGCGGGACCCTCGACCCCCTGCATCGTGGGCGGGACCCTCGGCCCCCTGCATCGTGGGCGGGACCCTCGGCCCCCTGCATCGTGGGCGGGACCCTCGGCCCCCTGCATCGTGGGCGGGACCCTCGGCCCCCTGCATCGTGGGCGGGACCCTCGGCCCCCTGCATCGTGGGCGGGACCCTCGGCCCCCTGCATCGTGGGTGGGACCCTCGGCCCCCTGCATCGTGGGCAGGACCCTTGGCTCCCTGCATCGTGGGTGGGACCCTCGGCCCCCTGCATCGTGGGTGGGACCCTCGGCCCCCTGCATCGTGGGCGGGACCCTCGGCCCCCTGCATCGTGGGCGGTCACCGGGCTGGAATCCCAGGGCAGCAGTAACTCAGTTCTGCCAGGCAGCAAGGATGGGGAAGACGCAGCCTTCATCACGGAGGTAGCCACGTCCAGCCTCATACACTGTTTGAAAGACATTTTGGAGATTTGCATCTCCCCAGAATTTAGATCCAACCATGGATCCGGGTGGGAGGACCCTTTCCCACCGGATGCCCAGGAAATCCCCACAGAAGTTCTGGGGGAGGAGGAGAGGACTGACCTTCTTGGGGCATCGGCTGGTCTGCGTTTAGGGTCCTTGCCCGGGGCTTCTGACATTTTTTTTTTTTGAAGATTTATTTATTATTTATTTGAAAGTCAGAGAGGGAAAGGAGGGGCAGAAAGAGAGAGAGAGAGAGAGGTCTTCCATCCACTGGTTCACTCTCCAGTTGCCGCAATTGGCTGTGCTGATCCGAAGCCAGGAGCCAGGAGCTTCTTCCCGGTCTCCCATGCGGGTGCAGGGGCCCAAGGACTTGGGCCCATCTTCTGCTGCTTTCCCAGGCCATAGCAGAGAGCTGGATGGGAAGTGGAGCAGCCGGGACTAGAACCGGCGCCCACGAGGGATGCAGGCACTGCAGGCAGCAGCGTTACCCGCTACACCACAGCGCCGGCCCCCGGCTTCTCTGACATCTCCCCAGCCGCACTGCAGCATTTCACTGGATCCGTCGAGGAGTGGCAGGGAAGTGGCCTCCTCGGCTGTTTGCAAATTGCCGAGAACTCTTTGCTGGCAAGCGAGGCGCCATCTGTTCTGTTCTCAGAACCAGTGAGCTACTTCGGAGGCTTCCTGTTTGTGGAGATGGAGTTGGAGGCTCCTCTCATGTTGCTCTTTGGGGCTCCCCCGCCCGGTTCCCATGTCCTTCTCGCTCTGTCCTGGCTCCTGCCATCCGGGTCTGCATGCTCCGGCCCCATAACCAGGGACGGAAGTGAAAGGTCTCCCGCGGCAGGACACCTCCGGGGTTTCGGGGGTGGCCTCTGGGGTGAACCAGGGCTTCGGAGCTGGAGGGTCACGGTCAGGTGATCGGCCCTCGCCGACGTGTGCGCTATGGAAGCTCAGGCCGGAAGATGGAGTAGCCGCCATGCTGACTGTCTGTGCTTCCTCTGTTTAATTACAGTTTGAGAATGAGATCATCACCAAGCTGGATCATGAAGTGGAAGGAGGCAGAGGAGACGAGCAGTACAAAGTGCTGTTTGATAAAATGTGAGTGTTGATTAGCACGGGGATCTATGGAGGCAGAGAGACCATAATTACTACAGTGAACTTTGTAGCCCAGAAATAATTAAAAGGTATTAATAATGGGAAATATTTAAGACCACCCCTCGGTGCAGCCACTGCGTCTGCGTGTGGGTAACCAGGTGCGTGCCATCACCCTCAGCCTCCTGGAGCACTGCAGGAAGCATAAATACCTGGCCAAGAGCGGCGAGGTGTTCGTCAGGCTCGTGGTGCGCCTGATGGAGCGGCTTCTGGACTACAGGACCATCATGCACGACGAGAACAAGGAGAACCGCATGAGCTGCACCGTCAACGTGCTGGTGAGTGGCGGCCCCGTGCATCCCCATGCGGCCCCGTGTGGCCCCGTGTGGCCCCGTGCGGCCCCGTGCGGCCCTGTATGGCCCCGTGTGGCCCCGTGCGGCCCTGTGCGGCCCCGTGCAGCCCTGTATGGCCCCGTGCGGCCCCGTGCGGCCCCGTGCGGCCCCATGCGGCCCCGTGAGGCCCCGTGCGGCCCCGTGCAGCCCTGTGTGGCCCCGTGCAGCCCCGTGAGGCCCCGTGAGGCCCCGTGCGGCCCTGTGAGGCCCTGTGCGGCCCCGTGTGGCACTGTGCGGCCCCGTGCAGCCCTGTGTGGCCCCGTGAGGCCCTGTGCGGCCCCTGCAGCCCCTTGTGGCCCCGTGCAGCCCCATGTAGCCCATGCGGCCCCGTGCGCCCCGGCCTTCCCAGCAGAGCGGGGCTGCCTTGGCTTCCTGGCTCAGCTGTCTCAAGGCAGCAGCCCCGAGAGCCCCACTCCACGCAAGTCTGTAGAATGCACTCCCCTCCACGTTTTCACACTGTTCTTCCTGATGTGAAAACCGTCTTCCTTTGTGATCCTGGTAACTCCTGACTTGATGATGGATGCAGGGCTTCCTCGTAAGAGATTATCAACACGTTCCTACTGGGTGGGTTACATGGGGCACCCCAAAAGACAGGCCCACATCCCAACTCTCAGAACCCATCAGTGCGACTATTTGGGGGGAAACGAAGGTTCTTGCAGATGAAGACTCTCTGGATGGGAGCATCTTGGATTACCTGGGGGCGGAGACCCTACCTCTGACAACAGGTGTCCTCATAGGAGACAGAGGGGGAGGAGACACAGAACAGAGGTGAAGTCGGGTAGACAGAGGCAGGGATTGGAGTGACGTGTCCACGAGCCGAAGAACGCTGAGGATCGACAGCTACCCCCGGGAAAATAGAAGAGGCTAGGGCGCGTTCTCCCCTAGAGCCTCTAGAGAGAACCATGGCTCGGTTCACAGTCTGATTTTGAGCTTCCGGCCCAGATAAGCGAGAGAACATGCATCTGTTGTGTTAGGCCACCTAGTGTGTGACAGCGCAGAGCTGGCTTCTTGCACTTGGCTGCTGCCTTCCGTCATGCCCACTGTTTGCTGTGGTCGCCGGGGTAAGGCTAAGGCTTTGCATGCCCCTTCCCAGTGTCCTTGTGGCCCCGGGAGGCACAGCCAGGAAATGTGTTCTAGCCAATGAGCTCTCAGGAAGCTTGATGAAAGGCGGAGCCTGGTTGGCGTACCTCCTGGCTCTCAGCAGCTGTGTGACGCTCACCCCTGGCTTCTGAGCTCTCTGCCCCATCCTCCTGAAAGGCCACCTCCAAAACTGGACAGACGGGACATCAAGAATCACACCTTGGTGGGGCAGAAGCCCACAGACAGAAGCCACTGCTGGACCACGGCTGGACGTCTCTATCCGGTACAGCAAGTTCCCTCTCAACACGTAATTACAATGCATTCTACCAATGAGAAATGGTTTAAAAAGATAGACAGGGCATGGGAAGCAGACCCAGGTACGGCACAGGTTTTGGAACCATCAGACCAGGAATCGGAAGCAGCTGGGATCAACACGCTAAGCTGGGGAACGTGGACCACGAGCAGCAACAGACGGACAGTTTATGCAGAAAGATCCGAAAGCTGTCCTAGAAACCCAGAGTACTGCACAGGGTGAGGAGTGCCCTTGATGGTCTCGGCAGTCAACTGGACACAGCCAGGGCCAGACTCGGGGAGCCGGAGGGCCTGGACACCTCTGCGTGTGCACCGTGAGGGTCTGGGCCGCTGTGCCCGTCCCTGCCGCCGGCCCCTGCCCCTCTCCCCGCCTCTGCATCACCTGCGGCTCTGTGAGCCATGGCAGCAGCTCTGCCCCAGCCCAGCGGGCCTTGCTCTCGCACAAGGACAGCACCGGTCCTGGCTCCAGCGTCCTCTTGCATTCGCGCCTCTGTCCAAAGCCATTTACTCTGCTAGTTCTGATGTGGTTGACATGAAGTAGGAACCAGAGATGTTCTGTGGACAGGACGTGGAAGCCTTTGCGAAGTCGTTCCCATCTGCGGACGCAACTGTACATCCTCCCTCTGCCCTTCCCGGGGATCCAGCGGCCAGTCAGGGTCCAGAAGAAAGAACTGTTAATAAGTTTGTTGGGTTTCTAGCTCGGGGGCTTGAGAGATCCGTTTGTTTTCAGGAGAATCTCTGTGAACTCTGGGGCAGGAGTGGTAGCGAACTCTGAATGTGGCCTCTTACTCAGCGGAACCCAGGGTCGGGAAACGAACTGTTGAATACACACGTGCACTCACGGTTTTGTGCGTCAGCCCAAGTTCCTCTCTCACGTGGAGGCCGACTCAGCATCCACCAGCTGATTCCTGTCGTCAGCACCAGCTCCATTTTAGCTAAAAAACACGCCCAGAGTTCCCGAGATCGTCTGTTGGGGGCGCATCCTGAGTCACCCCGCATAGAGTCTGGTATTTTATTCCTAACCATTCCCAGGGATGAGAAAATGGATCCCACGGTTCTGTCACAGTTCTTTCATGTACAAACTCAGACGAGTCCCTGGAATAAAGAAAAAACGAGAGACCGGAGTTTTACAGTGGTTTTTAAAGTACATTTTTTACTTTTTCTCCTATTTTTATTATAGGAATAGATTTCATAGAGATGCATCTGATGTCCATCTCAATGAATATAGACATACATTGGATATGCGTAAAATCTCCTCACTTTGTCACTAAGTAGGAATATCTACAAAATCCTAGAGTTAATTAATAAAGAACATAGCATCTTTTTAGAACCACTGCTGTTTTATAAAAAAAATAAGAGTTAGTAGAACATTCTGAGTTGTATGGGCTCATTAATATTCTACTCTTCCTTGCACTTAAAAAGATAAAACTGAAGATACAAACATGAGAGAGACAGCAGTCACTCTGCCCGGCCAGCTAAGTCTGTCTTAGCTTGTCTGCATGCGTATCAGCTTGGGGAGCCCACTGGACCAAGTGCACATTTGTAATGCTTTAACTAGCATTGTATTGCTACCTCTTGATCAAGCAATCTTAACTATGATTATTAACCAGTCTTAACCATTGGTCATTGACTTGGTTCTGTGTCACCTAGTTCTTTCATGCGGTCATCAGCATGACCCACTGTTGTTTTATAAAGGATTCATTTATTTATTTGAAGGCAGAGTTACACTGGGGGGGTGGGGGCAGAGAGACAGAGAGATCTTCCATCTGCTGGCTCCCTCACCAAATGGCCACAACAGCCAGGGCTGGGCCAACCCAAAGCCAGGAGTCTGGAACCCCACTGGGTGTCCCACGTGGGTGGCAGGGGAGCAAGTACTTGGGCCATCTGCTGCTGCTTTCCCAGGTGCATTAGCAGGGAGCTGGCTCAGAAACGGAGCAACCGGGACTCAAACTGGCACCCACAAGGGATGCTGGTACTGTAGAATGGCTTCACCCTCTATGCCGCAACGCGGGCCCCAGCGTGACCCCTGTGAAAGCACCATTACTTCATTGCATTGTTAGTTCATTGATACCACTTCCTCTCTCAGAGCCCTGTAGAGTCCTCAGCCGTGATTGGTACACAATTAGGACCAACATTGTGAAGCTCTCAGACTCTGCTGTGGTCACGGAGGAGCGCGATTGGAAATAACAGTGCAAGTGTCAGAGTGTGTGGGGTCAGTCGCCGCTGGACCCGGGTGGGGGGACCAGTCCCCGCGGGTGCCTCTGAGAGCCCGGCGCGGAGCTCGGCACAGACGGCAATGCTGCTGCTGTGGAGGGGACGCGGTGGAAGCCCGTGGGGAGGCAAGGACACCGCGCACGGAGCCCAGAAGCGAAGCTCAGGAGCCGTGTGAACTTGGACGTAAGAAGCACAACGGTTTTCTATAGGAACCGGGACCAGAGATGAATGTGTCTGGGCTCCGGGGAGGTTTTGAAGTCCTGGGAAGAGAACAGAACTCAGCACAGGCAGGAAATAGAAGACATCGCGTGACTGCAAGGCAGGAATGAGGCCACACGACCTCCTCACGGTAAAGGAGAACGATCAAAACCTCAGGAAGGGATTAAAAATAGGAGGACGGAGGGGCTGGTGTGACACCGCGGTGTGTAGACACTGACGAGTGAGCTGCCAGCGAAGGCTCGTTCTCTGCCTTCCATGTGGACTGGCTCCGTCACGTCAGCACTCTGAGCTGTCAGCTGAAAATATCCTCATCGCCGAGCCCTGTCGCAGGAACCAGAGGACGGTCAAATGTCAGCCGCTGCAGATTTGAGAATCTCGGTGCCCCCACTTTCTTCCTGTGTTTCTCTATCATTTCGGTCCAGAGAGATCAGTGGTGGAAGCGAGGCCTTTATTCGTAAGAGCCCCTGTCCTCTGGCTGCGTGATTGCATGTCTTTTCCATGGTGATGTGCGCGGGTTACCCCAGGCACCGTCCTCAGGTGCACGGCTCCGCACTGGCGGTGCCTTAGGCCTCTTTAGATGGCTTTTCCGTGTTTTTCTGGTGTCTTGTGAGAGACAAAGATTGTAAAGTGCTTGTGGAGATCATCCTATTAAGAAATGTAATGTGGGAACAGGTGTTGTGATACAGTGTCAGTTAAGGTCTTGCTTGACTGTCTGTGTCCCACACAGGAGTTCCTGGTTCGAGTCCCAGCCGCTGACCCATCCCTGCTAACGCACACCCCGAGAAGCAGCAGGCGATGGCTCAAGTCCGAGTCCCTGCCACCCACGTGGAAAAGCCACTTGGAGTTCTGAGCTCCCAGCTCTGCCTGGCCCAGTCCTGGCTGTTTTAGGCAGTGATGAAACATCTGGCTGTTAGGGTCTGGCTGTCTGTCTCTCTTAAAGATGTATTTTATTTGAAAAGCAGAGTAACACAGAGAGAAAGACAGAGGGAGAAAGAGATCTCCCATTGGCAGAGTCACTCCCCCAAAGGGCCGGGGCAGGCTGAAGCCAGAAGCCGGGAACTCTCCCCTGGACTCCCACGTGGTGGCCGGGGCCAAGCACGGGGGCCATCTCCTGCTGCCTCCCCAGGGGCATCAGCAGGGAGCTGGAGTGGAAGCAGAGCAGCCAGGCCTTGCTCAGCACTCAAACTGGCGCTCTGGTACGGGATTTCAGCTTAACCCACTGCACTGCCTGGCCTGCCCAGGACTCTGTCTCTGCTGCTCTTTTAAATAAAATGAAAATGAGTACATGAACATTTTTTAAAATCAAGAAATATAATTTTGCTAAAAAGGTTTATGCTTAGCCAGAAGATGTTTTACAGTAAAGGTGTGGATACAGCCCATTGGCTGTGTTCTGCTAATCTTCCTCCATCTGCATTTATCCACAGGGGACATTCTAAGTGACAGCCTGTTTCTTACAGTGTTCTGGGAGGTCTGTGTAGAGAAGTGTCATCCCAGGGAAATTCCTGGGACTGCGAAATGTTCGATAACTACATCATTCAGTACAGCAGCAGCAGCCCCCAGTGGCTATAGAACACTCCAGGTGTGGGAAGTACAACTCAGAAAGTGAATTCTTAGCTTTATTTAATGTCACTTACTTTGCCTTTAAGTATCTGAAGGTACTTTAAGAAGTTTGTAGACAATGAAATTAACATAAGTGTATTTGGTGGTGGTGGGGATTTGAAATCCATGCATATGAGGGATCTTCGCAAGGTTCTTGGAAACACATTCTATAAAAAACATGTTTGCATGGACCTAAACATTTTTTGCATGAACAGACGTTCATCCCATATTTCCGTGAACTTTCTGAGTGTTCTCACCTCATACGTGGAAGGCTACAGAATCTTTGCTGCCTTCCCGTGGCTCTGGCTGAGGCTGGGCTCAGCAGGAACTAACTCCCGTTGAGGGTACTTACTTGCTTGTTCACGAACTGGGCTATTGACTTATTTATGTGGGGTTATAATGGGTAAGAGATCTGTCATCGGACAGAACCTTCTTTTAATTGAAGACAGGTGACTTTCAAATGACAGAAGTAGACTTTAGTCATCACGGTGTTCAGAGACTGGGAAACGGGGATCTTAGAATAACAAAGGGAGACGGGTAAAGGTGGCTGTGCAGTTTATGTGAATTTACGGCTCAAGTCAGAAGACCTGGGTCCTCGTGGAAGTGTCCCCTGCCGGCTGAGGAATGTTGACTTTTTGGTGGACATGTGACACCTTTTGTGGAACAGGTATCTTAAAACTGCATTATGGTTTAATTTTTCAGAACTTCTACAAGGAAATTGAAAGAGAAGAAATGTACATAAGGTGTGTATGCCCAGTGCTGCCGCCCCCCTCCCTGCCCCGTGTTCGCGGGAACCGCTGTTTGTCAGCTCCCTGCTGAGAGTGCTCTGTCGCCACCGGGCTGACGGGTGGCACACTGGGAAGGCGCGGCTGTCTGAGGCTGGGTGTCCTGGAGCTCCCAGGGGGTCTTCTTGGCCTTCGTGCAGTGGGGCCAAGCCAGTACCGAGTTTGGGGAGTCACATGCAGCCAACCGGAAGTCCAAGCTGAAAGAGGTGGACTTCACAAGGCTGTCACACCCTTTCACCAACCCGCGTGGCCCTTTGGAAGCAGATAGCACCACGCATTTTGCTGGTTCACGGCAAGTTCCTGGACTACATGAGAAATCTGCGAATAACTCTGCCAGAAGTAGGCAGTATCACAATTTTCCATCTACTCTCCCTTAATGGACACCATACTCCTAGCACGTTCTTCTGCTTGCCTTCTCTTTTTCCCACGAAGTCAAAGGTGCCTTGCGTTGCCTGCTGGGTTGTGCCCCCTCACCTGCCTTTCTGTGCAGCCTGGCGGGCTGTGATTGAGCCCCTGTCTCTCATGGTGAAGCGTAGGGTCCAGGGTCAGATTGTTAGATTTCCACAGTGAAGAAGAGGTTAAGGTTATACCCATGAGCGTTTCATGGCGGGTTTATGACTTGAGTGTGGTTGTCCAGTTTTTCATTTGTATGATTTTTTTTTTACTTCTCCCCAAAGAAGAAAAGCCAGGTGAATAGAGGTACTTGGGAAAACAATCAGTTAGCTTTTTCCATGCACAATATTCCTGGCTTTTTATGCAAAAGCGACCTTTACTTCGTTATGGCAGAGAAATTCTTTCGCGCACGTCCGCTGTTATCCGCGGACTCCTCAGTCCTGTGGATTTGCATGAATTCCTCTGGGCATTTGGATCCACTAGAAATGTAGGAAATCGCAGTTGGAGGGAAAATCCGGGAAAGATAAAAGAAATAAGAAACCCTGACGTGAAGTCTGCTTTCGTGTATCATTCATTTTTTTCCTGAAAACGAAAGACTTAGCATCTTTAAATATGTCTGTTATTGCATATGACCCTGTTGGTTTCCCTTAGTGTTTTCTGCAGCAAAGTTTTGAGAGTGGAGCGAATCATGAGCTTGTAAAATGAAAGTGCACATCTGATTTGCTGCGGGACACAGCATTGAGCTCTTGCAGTCCTCAGCACAGGCTACCTGGTGACGTTTTAAGTGTGTGCCTTGTTCTCTGGCTCAGGTACCTGTACAAGCTCTGTGACCTGCACAAAGAGTGTGACAACTACACCGAAGCCGCGTACACCCTGCTTCTCCACGCAAAGCTGCTTAAGGTATGAAAATCATGATGCGTGTTCTGAATCTGTTGTTAAAAATTCTAAGATCATGCAAAAGTTTATTTTTCTGTGAAAAATTTTAATAAACATAGAGCGCAAGTTTTTATGGATATTTACTAAATTCAGTAAGTAAAAATATTTAGGAAATATTTTGATTAAAGTTCTAGCCCCGAATGCAGATTTAGCGAAATGCCGTAGCACATTCTCACCAAGCATCCTCAACCTCCAATAAGCTGCGTGTCAGCCGTAAGTCAGAGATTCTGCAGTGCCTTCCTCAGGCCGCCAGGACTCAGTAATGGTGACTTCAAGAAAAAGGGACCTCCCTGGTAGAGCAGCTAAAGATGGGAGGAAACACCCACACCCCTGATGACTTAGTGGAGGCAGAAGGGAGCGGACCACGGCTTTTCTGTCCGTTTGCATTGAGACTTCCTGTGGGTGTTCTGTGCTTCACTCTGCTGAAGGATCCTGGTCACAGGTCTAATGTGACATCACAGGTCTAGTGCTGCATCACAGGTCTAGTGTGACATCACAGGTCTAGTGTGACATCACAGGTCTAGTGTGGCATCACAGGTCTAGTGCTACATCACAGGTCTAGTGTGACATCACAGGTCTAGTGCTACATCACAGGTCTAATGTGGCATCACAGGTCTAGTGCTGCATCACAGGTCTAGTGTGATATCACAGGTCTAGTGTGACATCACAGGTCTAGTGCGACATCACAGGTCTAGTGCGGCAATACAGGTCTAGTGTGACATCACAGGTCTAGTGCGACATCACAGGTCTAGTGTGGCATCACAGGTCTAGTGCTACATCACAGGTCTAGTGTGACATCACAGGTCTAGTGCTACATCACAGGTCTAGTGTGGTGTCACAGGTCTAGTGTGACATCACAGGTCTAGTGTGACATCACAGGTCTAGTGCTACATCACAAGTCTAGTGCTGCATCACAGGTCTAGTGTGACATCACAGGTCTAGTGTGACATCACAGGTCTAGTGCTACATCACAGGTCTAGTGCTGCATCACAGGTCTAGTGTGACATCACAGGTCTAGTGTGACATCACAGGTCTAGTGCTACATCACAGGTCTAGTGTGGCATCTTCCACTGCTCTGTGATTCTTTGGTCACACAGAGAGCTCTAGACGCTGGCGTCTGTTTGCAGCGCCACATTCATGCTCTGCCCAGATCCAGTTCCAGCATAGTTGGCCCTACAGTGTCCATCCTAGATGGACCTGCCCAGCTCCCCCGACTTGTCCTGCCCCCAACTTGTGTCACCACATCTAGTGCCAGCACTCCTGATGGAACCTGACTAGCGCCAAGTCTGGTGGGACATCACGCCCCTCCTCTAGCTGGGGACACTCCTGTGGGCCAGGCAGCCTGGGAGCTGATTGCTTTCACTGGTGTCCTGGCTTCCTGGGGCCAAGCTCCACCTGCCAGGTCCTGCCGCTGAGCCAGCGCATTCACACGATGTCCTGCAGGCGGAAGTCCGCCTCCCTCCCTCACAAGCGCGTGAACTCTTCCCGTAACAGTATTTCCGCCTGTGCAGCTGCACCGTCTCCAGGTGACCAGGAGCTCCTGGGGGCAGGGCACCTTCTGACTCATCTTAGACCCCGAGGCCAGCACGTGAAAGGTCCCCACCCAACATCTGTTTTATTGAGCCTGCACCTAGTGCCCTTCACTCGCTGAGCTGAGTCAGTAACGGTTACGTTTCAGCTGTCAAACGGCGAGGCGCCGTGGCCTGGTACGAACCCTGTGCGTCTTCAGGACGTTGGCTAACCACACCCACACCTGCACAAACACTGACTGTGGCAGCGCCAGCCCTAGGACTGAAGGTTCACGGTCTCTCAGGTCCTTTGACAGCCTGTGAGCGAGACCCAGACATTCCTGGGGCCTTCCTCCCAGACATCACTGAGGTCTTGAGCAACACAGGGCCGGGCAGAGCCCAGAGCATGCCCCTGACAGCCACAGGTCGCCTGGTTCATGCTGTGTCCCAGGATGTTACGAGCCATCGTTAGCGAGCTGACATGTATACTTTCTAGAACATTCTGGACTTTTCTCCCTGTGAACCCAGCCACAGTCCTGACCCCCTTCTTTCCTTTCATTCCTCCTGGGTCCTCCAGACAGGGGCTCTCTCCTCGCACCCCAGGCCCCAGTGGTGTGGTGGCAGCAGCCACACCGCATCCTCAGAGTCACGGTGCACACGTGTGCACATGCGTGTGGAGCGTGGCATTCCAACCCTGCCAGCGGACAGTGCAGTGGGCGCACGGGCTCTCCCCTCAGCCTTGCTCACCCTGTGCTTTGATCTCAGTGGTCGGAGGACGTATGTGCGGCCCACCTCACGCAGCGGGACGGGTACCAGGCCACGACGCAGGGGCAGCTGAAAGAGCAGCTCTACCAGGAGATCATCCACTACTTCGACAAAGGCAAGGTAAGGAACGCGCCGCGGGCAGGTGCGCTCCAGGTCTCTCTGGGCGCCCAAGCACAGCACTGTCAGCACGCGATGTGTGCACACCAGGAAGTTGCTACAAAACACATATGCAAGGGGGTTGTGCCCCTCGCCTGCATTAGAAGTAGAAATGAAATCTGTCTCCAGAAGACCCAGTGGCCCTTTGCAGATGCCCTGTTGAAGGCAGGGACTGAGGAAGCACGGGCGGCTTTGTGGCCCGTCCCCAGGACGAGCGAGCCGGACCCCCGATGGCAGGTGTCTCTGTGCACTCGGGAATCACGCTCCTTTGACGTCTCGCCTCCTCTGTTGCCGCTGGGAAGCGAATCCCGAGGTAGGCCAGGCGTTACCTCTCCTCGGTGCCTTCTGGAGGCGTTGTCGCAGACAAAATTCTGTATGCCGTGGACTCGTGCTAAGAGGAAGCCTGCCACTGTCGGCTCTGTGACTCAGCGTGCAGAAGGTCAAGTCCACCGCTGTGACGCCACAGCTCTGCGCACAATGCAGGGGCTGAGACCTCAAGGGGCCGTCTCTCCCTGTTCTGGAGTCTGGAAGCTGAAGTCTGGGTGTCAGCAAGGGCACGCCCCCTCTGGAGGCTCCAGGGAGAATCGGTTCCATGCCCTTCTCAGCACCGCAATGGGTGCTGCCCGCAGGCCATGGCGCTGGCTGGAGCCTCACACGTCTCTCTGCCCCCTGCCCAGGGCCCACCCTGCTCCTGTAGGACCTTCTCTTACCTTGATGGCATCCAGAGAGCCTGTTTCCAACAAGGTCACACTGATTGACACATGGTTACAGCTCCACACTTGGAGGGAGGATGGCTGCCCCTCTTCCCGGCTTTGCTCAAACAGCTGTGAGTAGGGCCCCTGTGGTCTCCAGTTCAGAATCCTGCTTACATTGAGAGCTCCTCTGTGTATCTTTCCTGTCTGCCCAGTGGCCGGGTTGAAGACCACTTGGGCCGGGTGTGGTCTATGAATGACACCCAGGTCAGCCGTGGAACGGGCACGTTTCTTCCTAGAAGTGCGAAACCTTCACAATTAAGGGCGGTTACAAACATTTTACCAACAAAGGGGTAAAGCAGTAGGCCGCGTCCGCCGTTCCTTCCCCTGCTCCATCCATCCTCGACGGTGTTCAAGAGGAGGCGATCAGGCACTAGGACAGGGCAGGGCAGGGGTCAGCGGGGCTGCCGAACCCAGTGCCTTTGCAAGGAGCTGATCCTGGGCTCTGCTTGGAAACCCAGCCTCTGATGAGCTGTGTCCTGGGATCTCCCCGACCTCATCTTGCCCCCTCGCCCCCTCGTCGCTCTCTGGACTCTGGCGACCACTGCCCTTCCTGCTCTGCCCAGAGCCCTCTGCCCGTAACCAACCCACGGTGCACCTGTCAGCCCCACTGCAGAATTTTACAGCCCAGAAGTCTATGAAGTGAGGGGTGAGAAAACCTGGCTGAGACAAAGCTTAGGTGACAAAGTATTGTAGGCAGAAGAGACAAAGCAGCCGAAGGAACGTCCTCAGGCCGGCCCACGTTTGAGTGGAGCCAGAAAGATTCGAGTCTGTGGCCTGCAGGATGGCCGTGAGTCAGCGGGAGCTTTTGTGGGTTGTCTTCCGGGAACTGTCCAGGCTCTGCTGAGAAAACACATTGGAAAACTACTGAAGATCCATAGTATTTCCACGCGAATTGGAAAAATGGACCAGAATCCTCCTGGAAGTCAGGTGATGCAGAGTGAGGTGCTGGACAGAATTTTATAAAGAGATGTGAAGAGATTGGAAGTCCCTGGGGAATTAGTTGCACAAAAGTGCACTTTAACATCGATAGGCATTCTGTCCTCTGGGGAAACAGCAGTAGGAGGTCATTCTCTTCTCTATCAGTCGGGCTGAGCTGGAGGAGGCTGGAGCTTCGGCTTTGAGCCATGGTTCTGAACAACACAGGTGTGCTGTCACTCATGCTCCCTGCCCGGCCTGCTCACCTGCATCCCAGCTGAGCCGAGGTTCCACACCTGAGGAATGCAGTGGGCGAGGGACCTTAAGGAGCCCTGGGCCCGCGGTTGGATCTGCCCAGAACCGATGCATGTGCTTCCGCCCGTGTCAGCAACCATAGCCAATGTCAAGGGCTGGGCAGGTGCCCAGAAGAACAGGTGGGTGTGAGCAGCACCTGTGTGCACCACAGCCCTTATCAGACAGGGGAGCAAGGTTCTGGTGAAGAGCATGGGAGACGTGGGAATGTGAGTGTCGGAATCACCTGTGTGCACTTCTCAGAATCGCACTAACCCTGCACTGGAGGCGTGAGAGTAGAATTGTGCCGTAAGACCCGGTGTTGACCGTGATCCTGCTCCCTCCATAGGTGAGTTTTTTGTCCCATTTGAGAAATGTGAGAGGTACTTGGACAGGCAGGACACTGCAGGAGAATTAGCTCCCATTCCCTGTGACCAGGTTTCCAGAAATTTCCCCAGGAGGGAGCAGTCGATGGTCGCAGTGTGATATTTGGTGCCAGGTCTGGAATCACAAGGCCAAGGCAGTGTCCCTGCCAGGTCCGGGTACGTGCAGCAATTTGAGAGACAGCGTCCTTCATGCTTCTTTGGTTTGGCTTTGTTTTGTTTTGTTTTGACAGGCAGAGTTAGACAGTGAGAGAGAAGGAGACAGAGAGAAAGGTCTTCCTTTTTCTGTTGGTTCACCCCCCAAGTGGCCGCTGCAGCCAGCGCACTGCACTGATCTGAAGCCAGGAGCCACGTGCTTCTCCTGGTCTCCCATGCGGGTGCAGGGCCCAAGCACTTGGGCCATCCTCCACTGCACTCCCAGGCCACAGCAGAGGGCTGGCCTGGAAGAGGGGCAACTGGGACAGAATCCGGCGCCCCAACCGGGACTAGAACCCGGGGTGCCAGCGCCACAGGCGGAGGATTAGCCTAGTGAGCCACAACGCCGGCTTCTTCTTTGTTTTTAAATTTTTATTTATTTGAGAGACAGAGAAAGATACAGATAGACATAGAGGGTTCCCGTCTACTGGCTCATGCCCTATCCAGGGCCAGGGCCAGGAGGTGGGAACTCCATCCAGGACTCCCACATAGGTGCAGGAACCAATTACTTGACCTAACATCGCTGTCTCTCAGAGTCTGCATTAACAGGAAGCTGGAGTCAGGAACCCAAGCTGAGTGCTGAGCCCGGTGCTCTGACTTGGGGTGCAGGCATTTTAATCAGCATCTGAACGGCCCAGGAAAGTGGCCACCCCATTTCTGAAAGCAATGGAGGAAGACAGTGTTGAGGCTGTCACTGGGGATATAGGACTTGGAGGTTGGAGGGAGATCCCAGGGCACGAGTTTCCAGGCTCCCAGTTCAGATTGCAGTTATCTTGAGGGAGGGATAGGTCTGAAGGGCTCACAGGTGATGGTTGGCAGGTAATGTGTCCAATAGAAAGCTGGAGGAGGGCCTTGGCGAGTGTGGGGGCCCCAGAGAAGCCGGCTCCCACGCCATGGGTAGGTTCTGCCCGTGCTGTCATGTTCTGTATCCCAAGATGGTTGTGGCTACTGCCACTGGCTTTGCAGCCAGTCCAAACTGAGACAGGCTGTAGTGTGCAACACACGCTGTATTGATTTGCTTAAAGATTGATTGATTGATTTGCAAGGCAAAGTTAGAGAGAGAGAGAGAGAGAGAGAGAGAGAACTTCCATCTGCCAGTTTACTCCCCAAATGGCTGCAATGGCCAGAGCTGCGCCGATCCAAAGCCAGGAGCCAGAGCATCCTCCGGATCTCCCACTTAGGTGCAGGGGCCCAAGCACTTGAGCCGTCTTCCACTGCTTTTCCCAGGCATGTTAGCAGGGAACTAGATTGGAAGTGGAGCAGCTGGTGTGGGGAGCAACTGGGAGCAACTCGGACTAGACTAAGTTACTGGAATTAAGACTTATTCTATGCATCTGCTCTCCCACAATATGGCACTGGGAGAGGAGGAAACAGCTTCTACACAGCTGCCTCCAGTTCAACCAATAAACTGCAGGACCTGCTCCTGATTGGAGGAGAGCAGTGTACTCGGCGTGTGGGTAGCAAAGTTGGGATTGGTGGAAGAGGACTATAAAGGAGGAGAGAGACAACATGCACCGGGAACATCTATCTGAAGGAACACCTGTGCAGCCCCCGAGAGAGCCGGCCGGCGGTGTGCCGCTCCCCCGCGGAAGTGGGGAAAGTGGCAGGGGGAACTGCCCTTCCACGGAGGTGGAAGGGACGGTAGCCAACCCGGGAAGAACCAGCAGCAAACCCGGGAAGGGCCGAGCAGACGAAAGAACAGCGCAGGGTCCTGTGTTGCTCCTCCACGAAGAGGGGGAGCGGCATAATGGTGCCGTGACTCGGATATGAAGCCTAGGCAGGGTTTAGTGTCGTTCCTCTGCGAAGAGGGGGAGTGACAGCTGGGACTTGAACTGCTGCCCATATGGGATGCTGTCTCTGTAGGCAGTGGCTTTACCTGCTACACCACAGCACCGACCCCCACGTGCTCTATTTCCACGACTTGGTGCATAACAAGAAGTATGTTCTGATGGCCAAGTAACAGCCTCCCAAAATTCACACAATGGGGCCCTGACCCCAGGACCTTGGGATGTGACTGTATCTGGAGATAGGGAGGTCATTAAAGTACAATGAGGCACTAGGATGGTGTCCTTATTAGAAGAGAAGATCAGGACACAGATGCACACGGAGGGAGGACCACGGGGAGACGGGAACGCAGGTGGAAGAAACCAGCGCTGCGTGCTGGCACCTGGTTCTCCAGCCTCGGCCTCCAGAACTGTGGGGAACAATGTCCTGTCGTGTAAGCCTCCCAGTCATCAGCCAGATCCTTGTTTCGGTGGCAATTACCTCGTGCACGTTACGTGCTAAAGCGTAATGTTTTAGATCTTATAAATATTACCAACACCGACTTCACTTGGTAAATGCGGTGCCTGGAAATGTTCAGGTCCACACACAGCTCACCGTGTCTCCCTGTGGGCTGGTGCTGCCGCAGCCGAAGCCTTTGCTC